TAGAGGAACTTCATCACAACATCTATGATCCGCGCTAATAAGTCAACGACGTTATTAGGGAGCGAAAAAAACCAAAAAGACTGTCATAAACTAACATAAGAAAAAGAATTTATTATATTTACAAGCGCTAAAGAATGTTTTTATCTTTTTTAGTTGCAGTTTCATAAAAGAAAATCCTCTTCATCACATTATATTTACGCTTGTGATAATGGTCGTCAGTGAAAATCGCAATATGAATTTAATTTTCCATGGTTACATTTGTATCCACGGATTTATAGAAGAAACGATATGGAAGTGCTTCATAATAAAAAAATATCTATAACTTGTAATCTCCTCAAATAGCTATTTAATTACTAACTAAATTATTAACTAAATGAGCCTTATAATTTGTTTATAAAAACTTCGAATAATAAATATTGACTTAAAAAGGATTATGTGACTGTATGCCACTGGAGGCAATTGTCGCATACAAATAATTTTATATGGAGTTCATTGGCGAAAGAAACTTGCGGAGGCAAAGGCCTATAAGTTTCCATAGATAACGCAACTGACGTTAGTTTATAATCGAATCATTTTGTTTACATCAAAGTAATGATTGCCATGATGTTTTATTAATCTGTGCACCGTTAGATGTATCATCATTACGTATTAAATTATAATATCGGTAACAATATGTCATACCTAATATGAGAAAAAAATTATATAAAGTTTATTTCGTATCGCGGTTAAAAGAATTTATAAGAATTTGATTATTTTTTTATATACATACATTTTAATAAAGTATCATAAATGCTAATAAGCCTATCGACAGACCATAAAAGACAGCTGCCGCAGCCGATGGACACCCATGTTAGTGGGTGCGTTGCTGGCTATTTTTTAATTAGGAGGTTGTCCCAGTAAAGACCTCCACCGGAAGTCGATTCGAGAGCTCACCGCCATTCAGCGTGCTTGTGTTCTGTTGCTTGTTACTAGCCACTGTCCCGTTTTACTAGAAGACTGTATTCTTTCATAGCTTCTTAGCTATATGAATTTTATTTATATTGTGTATATCAAAGTCATATATAACGAGTAGCAGTGTTGGCTTCAGCGTGCGACTCTCGTCCCGGAAGTCGTAGCTTCGAACTCCGGAAGTATCTCTATCATCTCTATGAGCGCATCTAGCACTGGCTAGACTGTGAAGGAAAATATCGTGAGGAGACCGGCGTGTATCAGGCACACAAGGCTAATCACCTGGCCTAATAGATTTTTTTTTCTCGAAATAGATACAGCAATCTGAGACCCAGACATAGTAGGCTTTGCTAACATTTGTTTGAAGACTGTACACCGATACATTTTCTTTATGTACACAACACTCACTCGTATGGTAAAAGAAAACGTCGTGTAAAAAACCGGAAAGATTCAATCACCGGTAATACCGGAATGATTGGAGACATTTCAAGTTCGGAAACCACCAATCTGCCTATATAAATATGATCAACGCATTTTTTTATATAATTATATTAATTTTAAAAGACATTTGAATTGTTTACATAATTACAAAGGTTACAAAAATAAAATTTAACCTTTGGTTATAAGCTTTTATTATTTGTATTTTTCACATAATAAAAACAGTTATTACAATGTTTCTCCCATTGTGTGTTGCGATGACAAATATTTTTTGTTCAAGTTGTTTTCGGGTCGTCTACTTTAGTGCCTCTTTTTGAGCCTTCTTCCGACTTATTCTTTATATTTTTTAAAAGTGTATTTACATCTGGTATTTTATGAAACTCATTACATAACGCAATTTACTACTTAAACAAAAATCTTATAAAAGTTAGCTTATATTAATAGTTCAACGTTAAAGCTGATAAATCGACTTTTCGAGTAATTTCGGTGCGTCGTAGTTTAGCGAAATAGCATAATATCTCATGCTGCGCAAATTTAATTTGTTACATTTCGCACGCATGAACATCTGTGACCGGAAATTAGATTCGCAAACAAAAAATTCACCCCGCGTTTGTATTTCCAAACGTATTTGTCGCAAACCGATAGAATACTGTTTATGATATTTGTGTGTGTATATGTTGGGGCTAAAATTAAAAGCACGTCGCACTTCTGTTTGCTGTTTCTAATATTCTAATAATACTTATTTAGTGCTTATCGTATATAAACACCTGTATACGACGTTGACCTAGGAGTAACAAAAGTGCTAGTGGCAGGCAGCGCTGATCAAGTCAAATATGATATAAACACTCACCAAGATCTCGGAATTATTAAAAAATAATTGTTTTCTTATATTTATCGTTGTTATTTTATTATTCGACTTATAGATCCTGGCTAAAGAATTCTAATTCCAGTGATGCTCTGTTATGGTGTAGATAAAAAAAATTCTACACAGGTTCTTAAAGAAGTTTTATTTTAATGAACAACACGTCACCGTAAGTAATATATCCATCATTTTATGTTTAACTAGCTGCCGCTGTGAACTTCGTTTCGCCTTAATATATTTTTTTACTTAAAGTCTAAAGTAAAGTCTACCTGTTTAGTAGCTACATACCATATGGCATACTGCATAATACTCGTATATATGCTACACCACAGAGAATGTTTTCCGGAACTAGCACTAAATAAGGCTACTTTTTTTTAAATTTTCCTCTGCATAAAAACATTCCTCAGAGTTCAAAGAATAAATCCAAATAAATCCTCGAATTGTTCCAGCCGTTTTCGAGTTTTGAGCTTAGCAATATATTTCGCGATTTATTTTTATTTATATCGAATTTAGTGTGTTCATGTTTTGCCAAAGAAAACTGAATATTTTAAAAACATATGGTTAGTAATTTTTGTTAAATTTTTTGTAACATTTAAGAATTTTCTCGCGTTGCCAGTGTGGAATTCTAAAAATGAAATGTAACGTATGCCTAATTATTGTTAGAACTTAGCTCGAATTCAAAAATATAACAAATACTGTGAAATATACTCGTAGTTTGACGGATATAGTGTTCGCGTCAGTGGAGGGACACACAGTCAACGTTTTACCTTAAGTAGTATCTAGGACATAACGTGCACCTGTGTGAGATTGTATTAGTAAAGTGAAGAATCTGAAAATATACACTAACTTAACCATATCAATTTGATAAAATGAGAGGACGTCTTGACCCTATGACATCCCCATCTACCCTTAGTTCTACAGATGTTTTGATATCAGTTTGATTCACGTTTCAGAAACTTAAAAAATATCTATAGTCTATCTTAGAACAAATTTTATTTTTAAACAAAAGAAACACAAAATAATTTGTCCATTAAGGAGCTACGATGTCACAGGCAGGTTAACTCTAAACGTAGATAATTAGTTTTGTTTGAAAGAAATAAGCCCATTAAATCTTTATTGCATTCCCAATTGCATATTTAATATAATAAAGTTCAAGGAACTTCTCGAATATAAGTCGTTCGTGAATTCGTAATTACAAAATCAATAGAATATAATCCCGTGGTGTTTGTAAACTTAGCCACGAAGATGTAAAGTTCAAAATTAAAATATGAATTCATATAAAATTAAAGGTGTGATTTATTTTTATTCTCTTACTTTCTTCTCTGTTCGAAACAAGTTAAAATGTTAAGTACCATACGAAAAGAAGGTCCAAGGGCCTTAAGATACCTCAATCTTCTTCATGTGATGGATTGATCTCCTCGTTCACTTATTTTCTCTTTTGTTACGTCTTAAACTCGTGATAACATTTCAATAAAATTTAGAACGTCGTTTTTTCTTAGGCAAGTGAAACATTTTTCATATTATAATTTCCAAGACACGTCCAGTCATAAGAATATCTATGTTATTAGTTTTGCGGGATTTTAATGCAATTAATATTCACTTCACCGAACTCTAAATGTAATAAAAGTTATCTCCAAGAAATATTACGAATCACCGAGATAATCGATTTAACAAGTTATTACACGCGTCAACAAATAGAGTTAAATTTCCTTTTTAATTACTTTTCTCTAATTGTTAGTTAGTTAGTTTTAGTCAATATTAAAATAGCCTTTTGAGGCTAAGTGTAAGTATGTATATCACTAAGTAATTCCTGTAATCCAATGGGAGTTTGCTAAACGAAAGTCACACTTTACAGTCTCGACTCGAAACTTACCCTTAGTCCCGTAGACAAAGTTGAATGATTTTATCTTATATATAAAATTCTCGTGTCACAATGTTCGTTCCCATACTCCTCCGAAACAGCTCGACCGATTCTTATGAAATTTTTTATACATATTCAATAAGTCTTAGAATCGGCTACTATTAATCTTTCAAACCCCTAAGTGATAAGGGGTGTCCACCCGATTTTTTTTTTTATTTTTTAGAATTTCTTGTTTTTATTTGTTTATGATACAGCCTACAAAAATACAAACAACCCCTAATTTTCACTCCTCTACGATCAACCCCCTATTTTTTATTATTGTAGATAGTTCTTTTTATTGAACTAAAAAAATGTTTCCTAGAAATAATACACATGGCAAAAAAAACGGTGAGCTAGTTTTAATATAAAAGTTTACAAGAATTATATAATATCCTAGTGGTGCACCACAGTTTTAAACGTGTTAATTCACTCGTAGCGCGACCAGGCCAAGGTCCGATGGGCTATAGCGATAATGATGATAGCGACAAATGGAACTACTAACACAAAAATGTTTTATACAATTTGTAGCTCCTGAGACATTACTTTATGATACTTTATGTTATTAGTATAGATATGGTAAACTGTTATTATGATTGGCTTCTTCAACACAGGAATTTGTCTAGTGTAGACGATAACGACACTTTTTTCTCTCACACAATGATAACATTTATTTAGAGTTATACTACATAAATGTTATCGATAGGTACCTCTTTAGTCGAGTACAAAATCGCCAAAAAGGAGGTTAACACGCTGTTAAAATTATAGATAAAAGAAAATGTGTTAGAAAAATACGATAAAACGCTTAAATATATAAATAAAACCTGATTATATAAAACTATGTATATAATATATTTAATACTCAGTCGGTTCATCCAATTGACGTCCCTTACTACGAAGATCCGGTCCAAAATACTTAGTATACAAATCTTTAAACTGATTATGAACTTGGTTAGTGTTTATTGCCGGATTTACATCGGTATTTTTGTATTTATGACCGCAGTAGCATACATGATCCTTGCCACAGAATGATGGCAGACCTTCTTTCATGCATTTTCGTATGCAACTCCTGGCTACTTCCAGGTTAGGACAGAAATGCGCGATATGGTGTCGAACTGTTGGGCGTCCGTAATAGAGAGATTCCTTTGTGATTTCTGTAAATAAATATATATACAATAAACTAACTATGTACTTAAAAAAATTTTGTTCAGACCAAATCATAAGGAAGTCATCGTGTGTATGACGTACTAGTACAAAAGAATTTCATCAGCTATTTTGTGATATGTCTTCCTTCTTCACTTCCGGTTAGAGTCTGGGCAATCTGGCTGGCGGTAGCGGTTCGTTCATTAGTCCATCCTATCTGTCCAGTAATAATCCTGATTTTAAAAGCATTTTAAGAAGCGTAATTTTTGATTTTTCCTTTTTAAATACGTCTATCTGACATACTTTTTTTATTGCCAGACATTTTTCACGTTGCTAACTATGAGCCAGACGCGATTTTAAGTTTTATTTTTATAAAAATTTCAAAGCATTTTAGAATGTCTGTAATTTTAATATTATGTTATTTAAATATAAGAAAAACTGAAATGAATTTGCCAGACATTAATTCGATTGTTAAGTCTTGAATTAAAATGATAAAGTATTGCAGTATGATGAAGCATTGCATTTTAAGAAGCGTAATTTTTGATTTTTCCTTTTTAAATACGTCTACCTGACATACCTTTTTTATTGCCAGACATTTTTCATGTTGCTAACTATGAGCCAGACGCGATTTTAAGTTTTATTTTTATAAAAATTTCAAAGCATTTTAGAATGTCTGTAATTTTAATATTATGTTATTTAAATATAAGAAAAACTGAAAATGAATTTGCCAGACATTAATTCGATTGTTAAGTCTTGAATTAAAATGATAAAGTATTGCAGTATGATGTAATTTTTGATTACAGACATTCTAAAATGCTTTGAAATTTTTATAAAAATAAAACTTAAAATCGCGTCTGGCACATAGTTAGCAACGTGAAAAATGTCTGGCAATAAAAAAAGTATGTCAGGTAGACGTATTTAAAAAGGAAAAATCAAAAATTACGCTTCTTAAAATGCAATGCTTCATCAAACTGCAATACTTTATCATTTTAATTCAAGACTTAACAATCGAATTAATGTCTGGCAAATTAATTTTCAGTTTTTCTTATATTTAAATAACATAATATTAAAATTACAGACATTCTAAAATGCTTTGAAATTTTTATAAAAATAAAACTTAAAATCGCGTCTGGCACATAGTTAGCAACGTGAAAAATGTCTGGCAATAAAAAAAGGATGTCAGGTAGACGTATTTAAAAAGGAAAAATCAAAAATTACGCTTCTTAAAATGCTTTTAAAATCCAGGATTATTACCTGGACAGATAGGATGCGCACTAATGAACGCAACCGCTAACGCCAGCCAGATTGCCCAGACTCTAACCGGAAGTGCAAGAAGGAAGACATATCACAAAATCAGCTGACCTAAAATTCTTTTTTTTCAAACGTTGCTACCTCCCGTACTATACACACAATGCAAAAACTGTTCACCAAAAAAATACCAAACGTTGTAGTCACCGCTATGGTAAAATATACTCTCCGTTAAGCATTCATACAGCTCATTTTGGCTTGCTTTTTTGTATTATTTGTATATTAACCTACGTGTTATTATTTATAAATTATTTGCAATTCACGAGTCCGGGTCACGAGGTCTTAAAACTATAATAATTTTATCTTTATACAATTTGTGGGCTTATGTGTTCCAGTAATATTTCTGAACCAATCGAAAAAAAATATTTCACTAGTAGAAATATATTTTTTCCTATTACCCTAACACGGAAGAGATTTTATTACCGCTATATTGTTAACGTACAGTCTTAAAATCAATTCGTATTCACGCAAAGGGGCAGACAAGAAATCTATATTATAACTAGCTTCCCCCGCAAACTTCGTTTCGCCTTAATGTAATTACTTTATTTTTAGCAGCCAACCTATACTAACATATGGATGCTACGCTACCCCATAGAGACTGTTCGCTTTTCCGGAATAAAAACTAAATAAAACTTAATTTTTCTCTTCATAAAAACCGTCCTCTGAGGTTAAGGAAGAAAAAAAAGACCTCGAAATGATCAAGCCCTGTTCGAATTTGGTCTTAGCAACATATTTCGTGAATCATTTTTATTTATATTCAGATATCCGATTCCAAAAATTTAATTGTGGTTAATGTTTTTCTTATTTCTAATGCACCTATAGGTGTAGTCTACAACGAATATCAGTATGCATACTTCACTTCACTTATGCATTTTAAATGCAATAACGCGTGCTCTAACGTATGTAATGGATTATTTAAACGGAATTATTCATACTACAATGAATTAGTAAAAACCGGTCGTCTTCATTTAAAAAACCTAAGCAAAATTTATTGTGCGGTATAAAATAGTACAAAAATTGATTTCTACATAATTATTATGAAGTTCAATAGTAGGTATTTGTGGAGCACGCTACTACGCAGAAATATTGTTTTGATTTTTAAAAAATTAGGTTATAGACTGTGTAATATTTCATAACTATGGTAGAGTTTCTTGTTTATAGACAACATTTGCATCTTAACTGCGTATCGTTTTAAGATCCCTGGGGCGTTTTCTGTGTAAATAATATGTTTTATTATTTTCGTTAAAAACTTCTACGACAATAAATTCTGATAGTGTATAAACAACCGTTTTACTTATACACTATCAGATCGTAATATTTGTACATATTAATTATAATCAGAACTATTTACCATCAGTTCGATCCTCTGTACAGTAACACTTTCCAGAAATACAAACACTATTCTTATTTCCACAGTGAACTTGGCACATTTTGGAGATACAAGACTCGGAAGACCGCAGAGAACTGAAGTAGTAGTCTACATCGAAATCCACTAAAGCAAGAATTAAGAAATTAAATATCTAAATAAATAGAGCAGTGTTAGCATGAGTTCATAGTCGACCAAAAGGTAGTGCGGTCGAAAAGCTGTGCAAAGATATCTATTTGCGCAATTAATACTCGCTCCTATGTAAACATCAGGAGAATACCGATTTTAGACGAAGTCAGTTATAAGCCGGCAACCTGGATGTATCAGTTTCCATTGCGTTGAACTTCATGCGTAAACTAGATACCCTTACAGTCACTATGGATACTATTTTTATCTAAAGCTAGACAATGTAATAATATTTAAATTAATAATTTTCTACAAGATTCCTTTTATAACTAAATAACTGACTTGTAAAAACTTAAAACTTATTAACCCTTATTGTAATTACATCCGTTGATTTACATAGATTATTCTTTCCATAATGCACGTATTCAAGTAACCACGTCGCTAAGTTTGTTCATGCTAGCATACACAGTCCACGTTTTATGAAAAAGAAAAAAGGGTGCGTGTACTTATGTACGCGCGTAAGAAGTTATACTTTTTTGGCTTTCTTTATTTTTTTAAATATTAAATAATTAATAATAAATATTTAACGTTAATAATTTAATAATATTTAATATTTAGTATATTATTATATCATTAATTAATATTAATAATAATTACTATTATTACTATTATTTATTATTTTATTATATTATTCATTCAATTTAATACTCGTAACTAGGTATGTTTCATAACCTTTTAACTAAGTAACAATAGGTCTTTCTGAAAAAGCATTGCTAACTTTCTTTGAAAAAGTAATTAAAACTCCTTTATTTGTTTAAAAGGTTAAAGGTCATTATGGTCATTCAAAATTCTTAGCATAGCTGCTAACTTCACGCATATTCTATTTCTTTTTACTCGTAGATTGTCTTATTCCCATCTCGCTCGAGCACGCTCGGCGCCCGGCTGGTTTAAAAAGAATTCGTTAGTGGGCAACTTCATTCTGTTAATTTTGTGTCACGGTGCGCGCGCCTCGTAAAATTTCACTCTCTTCAATTTTTCATAACGCGCCTAAAGAAGTATAAACTCAATAAGGCATATGAAGAAGAGCTCTCGATTTCCCCTAGATCCTTCTGACAATTAAGCCACAACATGCAAATTTTTATTTTTACTCAGTCTGAATCAGCCATAAAATACGACGAATGGAGAACCTTATATTATTAAACTCTTGAGAAAACACAATTACTTACTAGTGTCTTTCAAGGATTGAATTCCAACAATTATAGTTAAAATCACAAAACCTTTCAGAACCATCTTTACTCTCAAACAGCGCCTGATTCGTTAAATTACTGTTTTAATTGATTTTTCACTTAAGTGTTTAACAACGATAGGAAACTTGATTAATTTAGTCAATCTAATGGAGTTTATATTTTCTCGTGTCGTAGTGCTGACAATTCAAGAACATGAATAATTGTTGAGATAATATATACTTCTCATATTGTTATAGTAATAATCTAGTCACTATTATTAGTGTTATAAAACGTGGACTAAATATGCTACGATGGATACAGCAATCATGAACCGAAAGTTTCTAGTGGCACTATAATATTAAAATGTTTAGGGTAAGATTGTCGAATCCAATATATTCTTCGCATATGAGAGAAATATTTAGCTAAGTCTCGACTCTAAACCACATAATACGTGTTAAATAAGTTTTTTAAAAAGATTAAAGTTTGATGAAATTATCATAGGCGACTTAAAACTAAAAATCTTGTTTTTGCATTTCTTCTTCATTGCCTGTATCGGTGTAGTATTTTTAAAAGTCATACTATAATATCAAAGAAACCGATTCAATCTAAGGATAAAAGACACTCAATTAAATGTTTTTAGCATTGCTGAATATTACAACAATCTATTATCTCAAATATATCTAAAATAAATATCCATGGAGAATCTAAAACGAAAGACGCCACGTTGACAACATGAATATTACGCTTATCTGTCCAACGACAATTAAACGCCTTGGATTTTCAATTCCTACTCCCCAGCTGTCCAAAACTGAGGTCTGACGTCACACAATGACAAGTTAACTTCAATTACACAGCTTTAAACGAGCCGAACTGGGTAAAACTTCATTTCCTTATAGAAAGTGAAGTATTTCTTCATGTCAGTGAAGTAAGTTATAAGCGGGATGCACTACGCTTAATAAGTAATTCGAAAAATGTAGATAAATTTACTAATTCGATCTCTAATGAAAACAAAATAATAAAAATTATCGAGCGCGTCAGATTTTCTAAGGGAGTGTTAAGTGCACCAAAAAAAAGCTCTCATTCACTAATCTGACGATTTCGATGGGACGCAAACCCACGGCCATTTTCATAATTTGCAAAAAAAAATCGCAATTTTGAAATACTCAAGCGCGTCAGATTAAGATATATGTGGTTCATCTTTATGTTCTAAACGTACTGTCTCATAATCTGACGATTATCTAGAGGGATTCGCCTGATCTGACAAAAAAAATTAGAAAAACGGTTCACCTAAAGGGCCATCCCTGCAACTTCCCGCTAATTCCATTCCTGGGCGCTTAAAATTGATATTTTGAGCTTGCTGAGTTCAAAGAAATAATATTTCTATGCATTTGAGCTCTCCCAGCTCGAAAGTCTGATAGAAGTTTCATAGAACACTATTTTTGGAATTTTCAAACCGCAATAACTTTTGAATGGATCAAGCAATTTTCACGCGGTTGGCGGCATTCAACGCAGTTTTATCATCCTCATATGTAATTTTGCAATTTTAATTGATCGAACCACAAATTTCGGAGTAATCCCAAAAAAACACTTTTTCGGGTTTCTTTCGTTCACGATATCTCTCGAACGAATCAACCGCTTTTGACCAGCTTGGTGGCGATCGACGTGGTTTTTCAAGCTCAAAGGCGGATAAGTTTTTGAAGTTGATCGATAAAGAAACCACTTTTAAAAAAAATATTTCTTATTTTTTAAAGATTTTTCAAAATTTCTCAAAATCTATCGGTCCGAATCGGTTCAAATTCACAGGAAATGTAATTTTGAGGGAAATATTTAGAACGCCGTTTAGTAGATTCCGATCGGTTTTAGGAAATGTAGGCATCACGCAGCTGCACGCATTTAACTTTATCGACGAATTTTTGTGATTTCGGCTTGCGGAAATCGTCAGATTATATATTTTTCATTATTCTTGAATTATTTCCTTCAAAATAAAAAAAAAATTAGCTACGCTCGAGAATGTCGAGATGACGTTTTTTTTTACAACTTTGTTGCCCTCCCCTTTATTTACGTCACTTTCAAATTGTCAGATTAGTGGAATATACACTTTTTAGGATGTAATTAACTCACCCTACCTTAATCTGACGCGCTCGGGAATGTCTGATGGTCAATTTTTTTTTACTAATCTGATCCTGTTTCCTTCACGGGCGGCCTTATATATGGGCCTCATATTTTGTGGAGGTACTTAACCGGGTACAAGGTATCCCCCTATATATTAATCTGCCGCGCTTTAGTAAATCCCGAAATCCCCTCTTGGGCTCCCCTACCATAAATACAAATCTTTAATCATTATTACAAGTTCAAGCATTTTTATATTTTCCTCGGTGTACTAGTAGTACCTACCTTCTAAGAAAAAAAAAAGCGTGCGTACAAAGTACACATGTCAGAAGTGAAACTTCTTTGACAAACTAATTTTTGGTCTTGTTCATATTTATTCAAATCTAAAACTTTTTTAAAATTTAATTTAATTAAAAATTTTGTGAATTTAATTGTCATTAAAATATTAAAGGTGTCGAAAATGAATACAAATTATAAATTTCGATTTATTTCTTCTATAATAAAAACACGTGGCGTTTTAATTTACAATTCGTCATTTGAGATTTCAATAGATTATTTTGCCTAAAATATAAAATACCGATATTTCATAAATTCTCTTTACGAAATTTTAATTTTAAAAATAGGATTTCTAAAAGGTAATTTGCCCTTCTCATTCCCTCTCAGTCGGTCTCAATCGCTCTCTCTGTCTTCGACAAAAACGCTACACATTTTCGTGACGCTAATATTGTTATTATTGCGTTTCATCCGTAAAAATTTTACCCTCGTGCGCCTAAAGACGTTTCACTTCAAAAACCTTCAGAATTCAGAAAATATTTTCATAAGTAAAAACAGTAAACATTATATAGGTACATGACACGATACGTTTGTATTTCATGCCTCGGATGAGTAATAAACTGGAGAGACTATACTCGTAGACTATAGACTCTAGTATCTAACTATTAGAATATTTAACAATAATGAGTCTTATAAAACTAGTTGTGAAATTAAGATTAAAACCGCTGAGTATATCACTTACGCCAATAGCGTAACGAACCGATCTTAATGAACTCTCACTGTAAACTGTTTCAGAAGTTTTCCAACTAGTCGGTTGGACGTAGACATTAAGATTCTTTATATGCTTTTTGGAAACCAGATTTTAAATCCAACAAAATAAACATGAACTAATAATAAAATACTATAAATAAAATATTGATCTGTCAGCGAGTAACATAGACTATTTTTTATAGGCAGCCTTAACATGTATTTTTCACATTATCTGTGACAATTATTTATGACACCAACTACGACTAGTCTATGAGATATATATGTCACCGTAAAATTGTAAACACCGTTAGATTGTAATCTATCTCGCGAGATTGTAAACTGTCGAAAGATTGTCAACTAAACGTACTGCTTACAATTTAACGTAATATTATTCGGTAGATTGTAATCTATCGAAGTGAAACTGTCAAATTGTGAAACGGATCGCACCTCGCGCGCTGATTGGTTGAACGGAATATGCCCCGCGCCACCATAATTGGCCGCGCCACCATAAAAGGTGACATAATATACACAAAATGTAATATTTAAATCAATTCCAGTTTTTTGTTAACTTAGCTATGTATTAATTTACATTAATATTATTACAGAATAATTTAGCATAATACCTGTATTGTAATAGATATTCTTTTGTAATAGATATTCTTCTATAATAACTACGTCGTTATGAAGTCGTCGGATGAAACTCAGCTGCAGGTAGTCTCCATGGTAAATGCGATGGAAGATTCAGAGAGACTCCACGAGAGCAAGCCGCTCGGAAAGTGACTGGTCGTCGACGATTCTAACTTAGCCTTTCCTTCCAAATGACCGCGAAACTGAACGTTATTCAATATATCAACGCCCAGTAATCCGATGCTAGCTGAGGCTTTAAGAAGAGTGTCTTCGAAGAGAGGAGTAGCGACAAAGGGTGTTTTTATTTGCGGAAAAAGTTCAAGCGTGTGTCCTCTTGGGGTTAAATTGGACTAGAAACACTGTTGTAATAACGAATGTTACTATCAACTTAAAAACTCGTAAAGAGTCCCAAGATTATTTAAAATACGGCGATAAAAATGTATAGCAATGAAAATACAATTTTCCGCAATCACAAAGTTTTATCCGACACCTTTTAAATTGAATAGAAATAAGATGGAGCTTAACAATTTCTGTAAACTTTTGACGGATCACAAAGCAAATGAGAGAACTTTCTGAAAGCAATTAGGGCTGAACTAATTTTCCAGTTTACACCTCGGGGACACGCCTGAGTTTTCACATGTTTCCCACAATATTTTGATTTCTAATTTGCTAATTAACAAAGATTTAATAAAATTGTGTTTACTTACTATAACCGGTCACAATGCTAAAACACCACGCACATACGGGGCTTTTAGCAGTTGAGCGTGCATTCACGGTGGTATAAATTAACATCAGGTAAGCCTTCCAACGCCAATATCAATTCATAAAATACAACAGGCTCAAGGATTAGAGCGATTAACCAGCCTTGGTTGTTTAGCAGCTAGCTTTTCCATCATGGTTTACAGTTTCTGACAATAGACATCTGCCGTAATCGTCTGGACATATTTAAGAAAATTATAGTGAACGACCCCGGCACTAGTCCACCAACACTCACAAGTAACTTTTTCGGAGTCAATTCTCGCTTGGGGAACGATTTGACTGGTTAGGCTGGGTTCAGCCATTGTGATGAGCGCTTCCGATTATCGTTTTGGATCCACTTTTCGTCACAGGTAATGATTCTATTTAAAATCCCTTCATTATTGTGCCTGTTGAGTAATGTAACGCAATAGTCGACGAGCGTTTGTAGATTTGCTACACTCAATTCATGAGGTACCGACCTTTAAAGCTTTTTCACCTTCCCAATTTGCTTCAAGTGGATTAATACAGTTTTATCCCTAACACCGCAGCCTGCAGCTAACTTAAGTCTTTTATACTTTGAATCGGCCACTTCTTTAATTCATATTGGGTATCCTCAAATGTGTTTCAAGCGTAAAGGATCATATATTTGGCTGGTTCAGCCAGGGCGTTGAAATCAAAACAGTGGTATTTTATTGCCATTTTAGTTCTGAACTGAAGCTTTTTCAAGCTGTGCTCTGGATTAAATAATGACTGTTAGTACCAAGTTGACTTTCTAAGCCTAGTCAAGGCCTCAAAGATATTGTCACATTTCAGAGGGGTGAACCCTCAATTTTATAATAGGTCTTTATAGTTCGCGCATACTGCATACATCGCATACATATAGTGTTTTCGGATTTCTTGTATGTTGTAAACATTCATTATTTGAAATTATATTATTAAATTAAGTATCTAAATTAAAATGCTGTTTCCATATATAACAACGATTTGAGTTACAATTTCGATAATTTATAAAATTGTTAATGTCATCACAATATGTGATAATATTTTTTTATTATGCGGAACTATAGCAAAATGTGTATGTTATCTATTGTGAACTGTCTTATCTGTGAACTTATGTATAGATAAAATATAATTATTATTTTTTACCTAATATCGACACTATTTAGTTAATAAAATGTCACCTATCTAATGAAAAATAAAATTATTTGATATACACGTCGTTCATAATAGGTAGATTTACAATATTGCTTTTTATTTCTACTTTTTTTACCATTATCAACTGTAGTGTAGTATAAACTAAACATTTCCCTTTCGCAATCTAACCCACACATTGTTAGAAAAGCTTTATTTTAAGCTTATATATTTGATTAATTTCCTGAACACGTTAGTTGAGAAATCACTTACTCTTGTCTTTGTAGATTAGTTGGGCAAATACCCAAAACTATTTTAGTTTTTATAAAATACAACTCTGTATATGTCAATGCTTATTTGCTTATAGAGAGTTTTACTTACAACTATATAAGGTTGAAGTCGCTAATATTTTCGTTATTATCTTTGATTGCTGTTGGGCAAATGCGTAACGCATTCGTTTACGAAGCTGTACAAAAGTTGTTTACCAGTCTCGGTAACAAAAAGAACAAAAGTTGAAGTTTGTTTCGCCTAAAGTTTACTATTATATGGATTTTATTAAACATTGCTTGTAAACTAAATGGGGTCGACAAACAGACATGTTTACCTTATAAATGCTAGAAGCCGTATGTAAAGCTTCATACTAATACAATTCCCATCTAAACAAGAAATATCTTGTTTTTTTTTTAATTGTTGACCAACTCTAACTAGGCCTCATCCCTAAGGTTGGGATTTAAACAATGACTCCCATCATAATCCAATATATTTTCAATATTACCCTGAATCTTCTAAAAGCGCTCCAATTATTAAACTTGGATATCCCGAATATATTAATAAAACTACTGATGGTGTGCCGAAATAATAACGCAACCAACAATTGCAAAACATTCAGTCTGTTCACACAACTATTCTATTAAAAAAATTAATAATTGAACAGCTATGTATGAACAGAATTGAATAAAACGAAACAATTAGAAATTTTTAGATTATGTTATAGATATACTAGCTGACACGGCAAACGTTGTTTCTCCATGTATATTATTTCTACGAAACGTTTTTTAGTTCAGTAAAAATAACTACTACAATCTACTATATTAAAAAAAGGGTCCGTGTACTTATGTACGCGCGTAAGAAGTTATACTTCTTTAGCAATATTAAAAATAGTTTGGCTTTGTTCCACCTCCAGTTTTTGATGTTTCACAGCGATAAGATGAAAACTCTTTTTTTGTATTCAATTTAGTGCAGTTACACTGATTCATCAATTTTTTGTCTCTTTTCCTTATATTTGCTAGATAAAATCAGAAAAATTACATGTTTTGATTAAACAATGTGGTTAATTTTTTAATCAAAACATTACTCGATAATAATAATAATACATACGGATAGTTAACCTCAATTGTATTGAAGCACTTAGGAAGGTTGATGAGCACAGTTTTTTCACAAATATTAATTAGTATTGGTTTAAATATTCAATTTAAATCACTTCTGATTATAATTCAAAAAGCATCGCTAAATTTCTTTGAAAAAATAATTAAAACTCCTTTATTTGTTTAAAAGGTAAATGACAAATGTCATTATGGTCATTCAAAATTGTTGGCATACGAACTTCACGCATATTCTATTTCTTTTTACTTGTAGATTGTCTTATTCCTATCTCGCTCGCGCACGCTATAATCACACTCCTAATTTTGTGTCACGGGTGCGCGCGCATTGTAAAATTTCACTCTCATAAATTTTTCATAACGCGCCTAAAGAAGTATAACTTCAAAAATAGAGGTTGATCGTAGAGGGGTACCAATTAAGGGTTGTGTGTATTTTTTAATGCCACATAATAAAAAATTAAAATTTTATCCAAAAAATAAAAATATTTTTCTGGCCTGGACACCCCTTATCACTTAGGGGCTTGAAATATAGATAGTAGCTGATTCTTCGACTTACTGAATATGCATAGAAAATTTCATAAGAATCGGTCGATCCGTTTCGGAGGAGTATGGTAACGAACATTGTGACACGAGAATTTTATATATATGTATAGAAATTATGTTTCTATTTGTATTTTTAAACATAGAATTTACTTTATCGACTCTAATAGGGTAACGTTTATACAAAGTATTGGAAATATTGCCATACAAAATCTTTAATCCTTTACGTCAAGAGCATAATGAACTGAACATTCATTATTGTCTCTATAATATATTTTTAGTGGGTAATATGCTTTTTTTTCATATATTATTATATATTTCAATATCTTTTAGTACTGAAAACATTGACTAATACATGATTTGTAACATCAATAAAAAATAATATTTAAAAAAATAATTTATTCAATAAATTAGACTTGGTATGGTGTTCTCTTTGCGATGTACTCCTTAACTCCAGGGAGAGAGCGTACCTTTGTGACAAGGGTTTGCACTGTCGGGAACTGTTTCTGGACCTCAATACCAAGGAAGAGGTTTGTGGCTTCAACGATACCCACTAACACGAAATCAGCCCAGCTTAACTAAAAGAATAGAGATATGGCCTTTTAAAATAGTGGAATAATTTTTTATGCAGTAGTTTCATATTATAACTTTCACTCGCGAGCCTTCTGGGATTGAGAGTGTCTATGGGCATGTGTCACTTATAGTCTATTATTGTTTTAAATAACACTAATATAACTATCTAGGCCTGTGTCATAACTATATGATTGACTCATCTGTATTCTGTAGTAATTTTTGATAATCTGTGACAGATTTGACGATTAGTGAATAATTGGCCTAAAGGTCTAGATACCAGGCCATAAACTCCAAAAAAAAAAAGTGAATGCTAACTGAATACTGAATAGGTTAAACTGTAAACAAAAAATACTAATTAATAATGAATGTTTGATAATTGATACAAACTGCGCTGGTCGCCGAATAATATAATATATAATGAATTCAGCGTCCAACTCAATTATTAAAAGTCAAGCTATTCTGGTTGATTCCATGTGTGATAATATGTGGAGAATGAAATTAATTAAAGGGGTCTTCCACAAAGAATGGGCTTTATGAGAGATTTAATCACTACATCTTTAAATAATGGCAATAGCATAATTTAAAAGTTAAGAAAATAATGGTAATAAAGAAAAAGTTTAATGAAAATATTGGTAAATCCATGTTTTGTGTTTTCTGCATCACTTATTTGATTCAATTAAATTGGACCATACAACAATACAGGCTCTGTTATGGATAAATGGATTTAAAAATAGTAAACTAAAATAGACAGATTTATTATGGGCTATTTGAATAATTAAAATACAAATCATATTTAATCTCTATTCATAACAGGAAACTGGGTGGACCTAAGTTAATGAATAGCATAAATAGCTGCAAAGCATGTCTTTTAATTGATGAAAATGACTGATACTATGGTAAACTTTAATGATTTGAAAAGAATGTTGGCTGACTCCAAAAATGATAAATCAAGTTTAACTTATTTAGTTACACGGAAAGATGTAAGCCTGTGTTAAGAGACATGTATTACTAATTGCTGTCCAACAAGATTTTTTTTGAAAACATAATAAAACAAGATAATTGAGATGTGTTAATATTAAGTAGTAAATGTAAATAGTATGTACTAAAGTGTAAATTATGTTGGAGTGTAAAATTATAGACTTTGATATAGGTATTCTGTATCTTATATATTTTGTTATATAAGATTACTTTGCTGTTTTTGGTAACAGTTTAGAATTATTATGTATATTATTAATTATCAAGCTCTGGTAATAATTTTTTTGACTGTGCCAGTAAATACCTTGTTTCCAAAGAATCCATTGTTCTTTTTCAACTCTTTCTCGAATCTGCTGAAGTAGAAGTTGATGAATTCTTCTAAGATTTCCTTCTTGTATGCTGCCTTCTTCACAGGGTCACTCTCCTTGATGTAGAGCACAACCTCTGTAATAAAAATGGAAATGTTTGTGCCATAATAAATGGTATCTCTTTCTGTAACTCAAAAGACAATTATGTCATTAGCTTGCTGTACCTGCCGCATCACGATATTTACCATCACCGTACAAGCAAGTGTTATTTGCGCACATAGAAAGAAAAATCTATTGGTGTTTATAGGATTTGAATGCGACCTTACGGTTAAGTAGAGTGCTAGTGCAAAACTACTTATTTTATACTGAATTAATTATGTGATACTTACTTGACCAGTAGTCGTAGATGTTGAGCGCGACTGCGTCGATCTCAGCCTGTTCCCAGGCGTCAGCAGGTAGAAGATGGGCCTGGCTGGCGATGTAACGAGCGATGGCCAAGGACTGGTTCAAGGTTTTACCTCCCTCTTCGTACAACGGCAGTTGACCGTATGGAAGGACTGTTAAAATATACGCCTTTGTTTTTTGTTTGTGGTACACGAAAAGTCTTAAGATATTCATAGAATTGATGTACCTACCTAAATCATCATTATAATGTGCATGAAGTGCCAACTTGAAGTTAGTTCGATTAATAATAGTAGGTACTGTAGATATTTACTAAATAGCTTTGCCTTATAAATTTGAAGGGCTAAAGTAAATTATAGCTAATAACATGCGCTAACAATTTTGTACATATATAAACAACCATCGATACTCACAATCCTTAACATGGGGAATAGGCCATTTTTTCACATCGTATTGGACATCTTCGAACTTCTGTCCAGCGTAGTGCAACATGTACCTTATTGGCTCACCGAGTCCGTTCACGTTGAAGTAGTGGAGTTTACGAGCCATGTTGCAGTTGCTTGCACTAGTAATACAATAGAAATCATTTACAGCTCGTTATTTTTATAGGCGAATTTGTTGTGAGTTAACACGGTATCAGTTGAGCAAGTTAGGGTTTCGTAAAATTACTAATACTGTTAAAATTGTAATTGTATGTTTATTAACACGAATATTACTACCAGCAACCCAATCGGCTAGAAACAAAGTTTCTTGTTGTTCGATTTTTTTTTTATTTTGTACCACTATCTTGGCAAATAAAGGATTTTTTTTATATTTCAAGAAAAATAAAGACTAAAATGCAAAGATTCTGCGCCGACGACGAGTTTTCATCTATTAACAAAATATATAATACTTATATTTTGGCAGTATTATGCAATTTTGAATACGAATATTAGTGTTTTTCAATAAAAATGCTTGTTGATTTAGTTATCTTGCGAAAATATGTACGGAACACTAAATGTATTATATCAATTTCTGATTCTATATTTTTGTTTCTGTGACCTTCATTTATCAGCTTCTATAATATTGTCAACAATATTTTATTAAAATAATTCCGATTTGAATATTATGGCTAAAGTTTTTATAGACTACTTTATTTCCCTGAGAGCTCAGAGCTTACGGGTTGAACTGTACATAGTAACAGGGAAGTCGATTCAGACTCATGAATTTACGAGAAGGTTCGATATCCGGCAAGACAAAAATATTTATAAATACGCATAGAAAGATGATTTGTATGGAGAAAAGCACGGCTCATATGTTAACAAATCATAAGTATAAGATACCCAGGAAGTACCTGCCACTATGCCCTGTTGAGTAGTTACGGGAATTCAAATACACAATTTTTTTTTCATATTTCAGAACGGTCATGCAGAATCTTTTTGATGTGGTAGCAAAAAAATCGGTTCCCAAATATGCCTCCCCAAAAATCTGGCACCTTAGACTCCAGCCTACATAGCCTGCTCTGGTAAAGCCCCCACTGATTTAAATAAAATGAGACCAGATAAAGTACTGCCACATCTGTCAGCCAGAGTAACGTGTCCGTGTTAAATTTGCATTAGCTTTGGCATATATATTATGTCCAAATATTAGATGTAAATTAGTACGTATAGCTAACGTGACCCCAGACGTATGTACGGGACTTTCCTTTTTCCAATTACGAGTCCCGGTGTCCCCAAAATGAACTGTGGGACGCAAAATTGTCCCGTTTTCAGAAACCGCGCGAAAATTTAAGCAGCAGAATATTAAAAAAAACATGCCCAGAGTTTCATTCTTATTTGAAATCTTCGCCAGCTATATTAAAACAAATTTGTTCTTCTAATAAATATAACTGAACATTTTGGGTACCTATATTTTGTGATTCGTAACTTTTAAGCCAACTAACTTTTCCAAATAAATAACTTTGAAGTGTTGTTTTTTTTTCATTGACTACTTATTATTTGACATAAATTAAACCAATGTCCCGTTTTGAGTCAAAGAATAAATGGTCACTTTACGTGTAGGTATTGTTAAATTTTATAAAATTTTACAAACAGTTCGATTTCAATGTACCTACAGGTAAGGTCAAGAGTTAATCAGCGTTATCACTTACAATAATACTTTCTAGAAATGTCACTGATAGTTGACACCTTGAGATGGAAAATTAATTTGTTGCTAAGTGCATTTATCACTGGTTTACGCGAGAGTGCAAATAAAGTACATAATTATATTTGAAATTGATCTTAGACATCTTATACAGTGAAAACATAAACGGAGCGAGGACGGTTAAGACTAGGCCTTTAGCCCAGTCTTAAAGGCCTCAAGGCACTTTAAAAAAAAAACTGTTTTGAAAAATCTATGGTACATTCGACCGTAGCCTTCGCAAGGGTACTTCAAAGGCATTATTTTAAAAACAAACAAATATAAAAAATGTTTACCTACAGTCTTCGTCAAAAACTCCCGCTTTTGGTGTTGGAGTTAGAATTGTTTATCTGTTTGAGAACCTAAATAATTTTGAGGAGCTAACATCAGCTAAAAGTTATCTATTATATTATCACAGTCCTTTGTGCATTCTAGAAAAGCTTGCGTGTGACACAGATAAACGTTACGATAAGTGTAGTCTACCTTTATTTATTAGACCTATTATTCACCGATAACAAGAAACAGTATTAGGGCAAATTGATTCCATTCACGGCTGCATTAGAGTCTATAATGTTTCCTTTGTTTCCAGTCTTTTGTGATAAGAAAATTATACTTAAAGAATAGTTCAAATAAAGTAAAATTGTTCTCTAATTATTACTGTCCCGACATTTTGCGTGCGTGTTTGTTTGTTTTTATAATGTTTAAAATTCAACAAATCATATATTTTAGATTCAGATAAGAAAACCGTAGACAATTATTCGTGTTTACTGTTACTGATTGTTTCTTTGATCCATTCTTAAAAATTCAATTTGCCAAGCAAAATGTATAAAATATTTCAAAGCTCAGTTCTGAAGCTATTACAACCCTCCTGGTGGATTCAGACGCCCCTAAAGACACTCAGCACGTGATCAAATATGCACCCTTGCGTTTTTTTATCTCTTATATCTACAACAATACAGATATACTATACATTGCCGTGTTTTAAGACGACAAACATTAACGCCCCGTCGACACTGTTCAATGTAATGGAACGTTGCTTTTTCGTCGCATAAAGAAATGCTGTTTATCAAAGATGTTATCGAATACTGTGGGGATGTTCCGCATTACAATGTGGATAGAGCATTGTAGCTTTTATGAAAAGAGTCGGCTTTACTATATTACAGTTTGGACATTGACAAAGAATGCGATCGTCTGTATCGTAGGTGGCGAGAAGTTTTCACACGCTGCTGTATGATTATATTTTAATTCATTGGATTTAGTTTGAAAATGCGCCACATTTCGCAAAGTGAAATCTATTCTAATAAAATTTACAAGTTTCCTTTGAATGTTATCAATAGCCTAGATCTAATCGATGAAGGATTTTCAATGTTTCTTCTGGCTAACATATATTTTTTATAGGATTAAAAGCAAATAAAATCTCATAAACAAATACCTTTTAGCTTAATTAAAATGATTGTTTTATAGAATATGGGGCAAACGGGCCGGAGGCTCATCTGATGTTAAGATACCGCCGCCCATGGACACTCTCAATGTTAGAGGGCTCGCGAGTGCGTTGTTGGCCTTTTTAGAATTGATAATTTTGTTTTCGATATGATGAAAGCTACTTTGGATAAGTCACTAAATTTATCATTTATTAATAGAAGAATGAAACTGTAACAAAAATATGTAAAATAATAAACTTATTCTATATTGCCAAAATGTTAAGCAAGATAATAAGAGCGTTCATTTATTATCTTGCTATAATAAAGGTGTGATTTTTATATACAATGTCCTACATTAGTTCGAATAATGGACTCGAATGGTTATTGTTAAAAGTTTAATTTATATTAAATTTGTCTATTATAAAAGACATAGTACCTAGAATGGTACGTACCATGTAGATAATATTAGAAATAAAATCAATAAAAGCCTAAACCATACAACGAGGCCTTATCTAAGATCGTGGTTATATTTTAAAGTACATCAAATAAATTGATTTCGAGTAAAACTAAAAACATACGGACTATGAAGTCTTTTTCTTCCTTTTTTTGGAACTCGTTCAGAATTGTGAATTGTTTTAAAAGTGTCAATTTAGAAGACTCCTTACTTAAAAAGATTACTACTAAAAGAAATAGAAAAGCTGCAAATATGTGTCTATGAATGGTGGTCAAAGGAGATAAAAAATAGACAATACATATAATAAAATGTGGATTTGTTGCATCCCTACTGAGGTAAAGCCTTAATCCAATGAGCCCAATCGCGACAGCCCTAACTAGATATGCGCGTGTCACGCCAAATTTTAAGCTGAGCTTATCGCATTCTCTCTTACACAAAGGATTTCAAAATCCAACACTATTTTGTGAATATTTACATTGTACATTTCACGTCAAATTTACCGTATGGGTACGTTGCATCAAACGATAAAGGTACTAGGTATTATAAATTCCTCAACGTTCCTGAAAAAAATCTTTATATAAAATAAAGAGACTTATGGGCAGCAAAGTTTGTCATAATCGATCTACAAATGAAGGTATGCGTAAGGATGGTGTACTGATCCTCCAACTTAAAGGTAATGTGCTCTACCAGTTCAAAGTCTGACTGGCCAGCCCGAAGGCCCCAGAGGCTGAAGTCGAGAAGTTCTTCAGGGTATGACGACATCGCAGTGATTTGTAAGCGCAGAATGTTGGTGTCGCTACAGGTAGGTATATTTGGCATTTACACTTTATACGTCGAATAAAAGTATATTACATAAATTCTGATAGAAATCGTAATAAATCTTTTCCTTATGCGGGCATAACAAAAGCTTTGGATTCACGTCCATCTCCGATATTAGTTGGTACTAGCTCAAGTAAAATCAATTTTAATCTAGTCAACTTAGTTGGCTCCAAATCGGAAAATTGGCAACGCAATATCGGCACACGCCAAGCCGCATTTGGCTTTGTCGAACTCTATCTTTTCTAGATACTACTGTTTAATTGAGATTAACATTCAAATTTGGCGTGAATATGTCGCAGCTGTTAACTTTAGAATTTGGATTTGGTTACAAATATTTATGCCTGACGCTAATGGTACAAATGTTTTAAATAATAATTGCTGATAAAAAGTTACAGGCGCAATATTTTTTCGAATTATTTTAACTGCATTGCGATATTCATAATATATGTTGATAGTGATCGTCAAATCTAATTAAGTTAATAGATATTTCAACTCAGTGCACGTAGATACTTATTTCGTTTACAAATAATGCTATATTTATACGACAGAATAATAATGTTTACTAGAATCACTAATACAAATCTCATAGTTACAATCTTCATCAAATTAAGATAAACTATTTCAATAAAATATATAATAACTTGTAACTCAGCTTGGTTACTGTAATACTTATGCAAAATTTGTATTTGAGTGGCCCA